ATCTCAGTCACAAAAGGACAAATACTGCATAGTGCTACTATTGTAAAACAGGACTGACATCAGGATTGAGGGAAGACTGAGAAAGATGGGATAAATAACGTACACTGCATTGAAAGAGATGAGGGAGAAAACTGTTTAGAAGGGATATGTGATTAGGTATCATTGTTGTGACAGGAATCCAGAACAAAGGCTCATAGTGGAGTGGACCTGGGGGGAAAGATTGTATAACAGTGAAAAAAATTTTCTTTTACTTTTCAAAGAAAAAGAGTGAACTGGTGGAGGAGGGGTAGGCAGGGAGAAAAGTGCAATAATGAGTGAATGGAAATCCAAAGTCTCTGTAAATTTTCATTAAAGTTAATAATAATAATAAAAGAAGGGGAAAAGAATTAAGAACAGAGGCCAAATTGTGTTATGTAAGGTCATTGATTACCTCACAGGGATAATACATTGCAATAAAGAAGAATTCATTCCAGGAATGCAAGACTGGTTCAACATTCCAAAAGCATGTTAGTCATATTAACATACTAAGAAGACGTATGGAAAAAAATATTATTATCTTTGAATATAACTATGACTTTAAGCATAAGACCTCAAGAGAACAATTCTTGTAAAGACAAAATTTGCTAAATTCAGTATACACATCTGCTGTCAAAAAAATTAGCATGCTATAACAAAGATGAAGCTCGAAAGCACTATTCTAAGTGACAGATGCCGGGTGCAAAATTCCAGTTACTGCACTATTCATCTTACACGGAATGTCTAGAAAAGGCAAATATATACAGAGAGAAAGCAGCACAGTGGTTGTCTGAGGTTAAGAGAAAATGGGCATAAGGGGATATTTTGGACTATTGTGATTATTGTACAACTCTGTCTATTTTTTTAAATTCAAAGGATTTCATTAAGACAATTAAAACTAGAGACAGCTATGGACCCACCTCTGCATAGCCCCTTCTTATTGGTAGGGTGAAGACCATATAGAAATAAATGAGGAAAGAAAAGCGTGTTAAACAGAGGTCTTACTGTATCCTGTGAGGTTCAGTGTTGGAGAAGGTACTGGGCAAAAGCAGAAACAGCAGAATCCTTGGTGAGGGAATGAGAAGGGCAATGTGAGGGAGGCGTATAAATGAAGACCAGGCTTGGGTCACTACAGGTTTGCAGCCATGGCTGGGGATCAGAGTATTATTCCAACTCATGGAAAACCAGGGATATGGTAACAGAGTGTCATGTGTTAAGAGCTGATGTAGCTGCTCTGTGGATAAACGATATACTAAGGAAGGAATGGATGTGTTTGGTTCACAGACACTCATCTCTGTTGCTGCCATTGATAAGAAACTAGCCACTCTGCAACACCATTTGTTAAAGAATCAAGATATAATGCTCATTCACTCCTATAATTTGCACAAACTGACACCAAAACGAGGCACAAGTTCTCTGTAAACATTACACAAAGTCCATGGCTAAGCTCCACATTCAAAGAGAAAGACAAATTAATTTTCCTAGCTATTATGACAAGGATTTCTCTCCTGCCTCCCCTTCCTACTCTTTATTAGGAAGCTCTGGTGGCCTAGTGGTAAGAAGCTGCACTACAATTCCAAGGACACACAATTTGAATTCACCAGCTGTTCCATGGGAGAAGGATGGGCAGTCTTTTCCCATGTGATTTACTTCCTTTGAAAACCTGTTGGAGGGTCAGCTATGGGTCGGTTCCGACTCAATGGCACACAACAACAACAAGCCAGAGAAGAAGTCATATAATAGGTGATCTAAGCAAGTGCTATTCTTCTTGACTCCCCAAGGCAAAAGGCATAAACTTCTGAAACTGACCTGAGACTCTGCTTGACGCCCCAGGGAAAAGTTAAGTCTTTCACTGAATGCCAGCCACTTAGGATAAGGAAGTCATGCCAGGCAAAAGAGCAAAGGCTTGTCGTTTTGGAGGGGCCTCACCTGCACTTTTTTAAGCTGACTAAATACTTTCTTGCTAAGCGTGTCCGTATTGATGGTGGCAAACACTGTAGAGAGAAAGAGGTGATGTTAAAGGGATCAAGGAAGGAAGAAGGGTACAGCAGAGGAAAGGCACACTTTACAGTAAAGGTAACGGGTGCATCCCACATTGCAGTGTATAGTGGCTTCCCAGACAACCCGTCATCTGACACTTGCAAGGACATCAAGAAATAAGAAAGGCAAGACAAGTAATAGTTAATCTTCTCTTATTGCCATTGAGTCAGTTCAGTAATGAACAGTCCTGTTATTTTATTCTCCAGGATTTACCATGTCTCTATTCTGAGACTGACTACAAATTCTCAGGCTCAAGCCTCTGCCTAGGTTAAGTTTCTTATACAAAAACTATTGCCTAATTCTCCACATGGCTTTTAAATTCCCAGCCCCAATTGATTTCTGAGCCACAATGAAATGATGAGACCAGTAGAGCCTGTCCAGTAAGATCCCTGACAACAATCTGTTAAAGATAACAGGCACAAGGTCAAGTGATGCAGTCAGAGAGGACACTCTCAGCCTTGACTTCATCCTTCATGCACAGTAATACCAAATCTCTGGGATCTATGTCAATGGACATGAAAAAGAGAGGCATCAGAGATATATTTGGTCCTCTCTGACTTAGTTCAAGATTTAAGTTAACTAAGAGCTTCAATTCTTGTTCAAGACCCTCAAAGTTGGTACCTTCTTTTATGTGGCCTTTGGTCACATCTTTCTCATTATCTGAGGTAACGAGAAATTCAACAATCCCTCTTTGCAGCAGGGCCTGTGGAGAAAACAACAAAAATAAGCCCTCTTTTCTTGCCACCAAAAAAAAAGAAAGGGGTGGGCATGGGGTAGGGGGAATAAATACAGCCAGGATGTAGATAGGTGAGATTTGAACTCCAAGACTGATCTTTAGCAAACAGAATTTCTATCTTGGTATAGTCATTTTGGTGCTTTTAGTGGTCAACAGCAATAGCATAGCAGTGAGTGTGGGCTCAGATATCCACAGTATCAATCTCCACTGAAAACACATTGCACAGCAGGTTTTGTGCTGCTAATTTAAGAGCAGGGAGCACTGGTGGGTTTAGGGGTAAGGAGCTGAGCTGCCAATGCAGTTACAGGATTTGAATCCACCAGCTGTTCTGTGGGAGAAGAATGTGTGCAGTCTCCTCCCATATGATTTATTGCCTCTGAAAACCCACCTGAGGGTCAGCTAAGACAGCAACAGTTTAACAGGAGGGAGTTCTGGTAGGATAGTCCTTAGGGCTTCGTGCTGCTAACCCAAGAGACAGTGCCTCTCCAGGGGTTTGAATTCACCAGTGGCTCCTCAGGAGAAAGATGGGTAATCTTGTTCCGTGTGATTTACAGCCTCCAACAACCTACTGGAAAATCAACTATGAGTTGTTTCCAACTTGAGAGCAATGAGTTTGAGGTTTTTGGTTTTATTTTTAGACTTTAACAGAGATATCCCAGAGTAGAATCTAAGAAAGAAAGGGAGGGGAGAAGTCCTGGGGCACATACTCTGTTCTGAGATTAGAGAGCAATGCTGTAGCACCTATGTTGCACTTGGTCACTGTTAAAGGAGACAGAAAAGCCTATCACAGCTGCAGGGGCAGTCAGAAAATACAAAACAGTATGTATCAAACAGACAGTTGACCAGAGAGCAAGGTAAAAATATGCCTCTGTATCATATATGTTTATTGATCTGAGAGGAGAAAAACATTGGTAATATTTTAAAATCAAGAAAAAGATAGTGTTAGCTAAAAAACTCTGATAGGTAGAATTATACTGAACCTAGGTAAAATCAAGGAAGACAATAACCCCTGCACCTGCTCAGCCCCAGCAGTTACAATTCAGGAGAGGAGCAGCCTGCATCATGTGGCCCAACCCCACCCTTCATTCCTTCATTTCAGTGCTCTTTCTGCTTGTCCACGTGATGGCCCTTGTCACTGCTCTCACGGCCATCCCATCAGAGGTGTGGACAATGCGCAGCAAACCAAGGCAGGAGCTGAGATGAAGAGATCATCTCATGGCAGAGTATGGAGCTTTGCGACCTGCTTAGAAACCCAAGGCTGGTGAGAAACTTCATCAGCTCCCTGCATGTGGGGAGATCACCAGGCAGGACAATATTCTCCTCTGGATTGAGAAATCTCTGCACAGAGGAGCAACAAACAAGAAGTGTATAACCACTAAAGGTTAGCAAGCTGTAAGCTACTGACCACGTCGTTCTTGAAGAATTTTATTTTTTTACTGTGATTTTAATGAAAGTTTACAGAATTTTCTTTCACTCATTGTTGCAGTTTCCTCCCTACCCCACCTCAGTTAACTTTAAAATAATAATAATAATAATTCATTGTTACTTTTTTTTTTTTTGGCTGAGTACAGTGTACTTTATTGATGGTACATGACAAGATGGGCTCGCCAAGCCCCTCCCCTTTCTCAGGGGGATTTGATGGAAACTTGTGTCAAGGGTGTGAGATTCTCAGTGTGTGGGAGGATCAAGTTGGGGCAAGGACTCCCCAGCAACTGAGGGTCTCCCTCTCTTCTAGTGCTATTGCTGGGCTGGTGGTCCAAGGGGATCTTATTCTTTGGAGGCCATGTGAACCATCAGGTCGACCACCCGGTTGCTGTAGCCAAATTCATTGTCATACCAGGAAATGAGTTTGACAAAGTGGTCGTTCAGGGCAATGCCAGCCCCAGCATTGAAGGTGGAAGAGTGGGTGTCACTATTAAAAGTCACAGGAGACAACCTGGTCTTCAGTGTATCCCAGAATGCCCTTGAGGGGCCCTTCTGATGCCTGCTATACTACTTTCTTGATGTCATCATATTTGGCAGCTTTCTCCAGACGGCAGGTCAGGTCCACAACTGACACATTGGGGGTGGGGACACAGAAAGCCATGCCGGTAAGTTTCCCATTCAGTTCATGGATGACCTTGCCCGCGGCCTTGGCAGCGCCAGTAGATGCAGGGATGATGTTCTGGGCAGCTCCACGGCCATCACGCCACAGCTTTCCAGAGGGGCCATCCAAAGTCTTCTGGGTGGCAGTAATGGCATGGACTGTGGTCATGAGTCCCTCTACAATGCCAAAGTTGTCATGGATGACCTTGGCCAGGGGAGCCAAGCAGTTGGTGGTGCAGGAGGCATTGCTGACAATCTTGAGAGAGTTGTCATACTTTTCATGGTTCACGCCCATCACAAACATGGAGGCATCAGCAGAAGGAGCAGAGATTATTACCAGTTTGGCACCACCCTTCAAGTGAGCCCCAGGCTTCTCCAAGGTTGTGAAGACACCAGTGGACTCCACAACATACTCAGCACCAGCATCACCCCACTTGATGCTGGCGGGATCTCGCTCCTGGAAGATAGTGATAACTTTCCCATTGATGACCAGCTTCCCATTCTCAGCCTTGACAGTGCCATTGAACTTGCCATGGGTGGAATCTTATTGGAACATATAGACCACGTAGTTGAGGTTAATGAAGGGATCATTGATGGTGACAATATCCACTTTTTTAGAGTGAAAAGCAGCCCTGGTGACCAGGAGCCCAATACGGCCAAATCCGTTTACTCCGACCTTCACCATCGTGTCTCAGGGATGCGGCTGAGGCTGCACAAGAAGAGAGGGCAATCTGGATCGACGAGGAGCAGAGAGCCCATTGTTACATTTTTAATTTCCTCCTTTCCTCCCCCCATCTCTAGTCCACTTTGCTGTGCGCCTTTTATTCTGGACTGCTGTGATACAAATAATGTCTTATCATATAATTCTTTTAAACAGTTCTTTCCTTCATCTGTGTTCATTATTTATCTCCTCTTTTCTTAGTTTTCCCCCAAGCCCCGTGTCAGTCCTGTTTTAGCATAGTGATGTTATGCAGTATTCTTTACTACAGATATGTCTGCTGTCAAGGCAGAATTGACTCCTAGCTGATTCTCCAGGGGGTTTTTAGAGACAGTTAATCACACGGGAGAGGACTGGTCATCTATCTCCCATGAAGCAACTAGTGGATTTAAACTTCATGTCTTTGGGATTGCGCCTCAGCTTCTTACCACTAGGCCACCTGAACTCTTACCAGACATGTATTACTTTTGTATTCCTTTGAGTCACAAGTGACCTATAGCTGACCCTATGGTGGATTTTTAGAGGCAGTAAATCTCATGGGAGGAGACTGGCCATTGTTCTTCCATGAAGCAGTTGCTGATTTGCCAATTTCAGCTTTAATGAAAATTTCAGATTTGAGGGATAATAACCAAAATAAGAACAATCTATTATTTCCAAATTTTCGTCTCATAATGCAATCATCTAAGTACATAGCTATACTGTAAATTTGCAGAGACATTTAACTTGATCATATGTCACATAAACAGTTGGGACTTGGAAAATTCATACTGGAAAAGAGAAGGATTGAGTGGAGAGGCAGGCAAATACGCATACAAAACATGTCAAATATTTCTTACCTTGTGAATATACGGCATGTAGTTTTTATCTTTATTATAGGAGCCATATTCATTCTCCACTTGGACAGCAATAATAGGGCCTCCTGAGTGATACTGAGACACAAGCAGATGAGAGTTTAAGAGTGAGGCTACCCTTACTCACTGCTGGTGGGAACATACAATGATGTGACCACTATGGAAGGCAGTATGGTGCTTTCTCCAAAAGTTGCAACTAGAAATACCATTTGACCTAGCAATTCCCTACTAGGAATATGCCCTAAACAAAACAGAGCTGCCACCCAAACAGGTATATGCACACCCATGTTTACTGCTTCATTATTCACAAGAGCAAGGACAATCCAAGTGCCTATCAACAAATGAATGGATAGAAAAACCATGGTATATTCACACAATTAAATATTACACAACACTGAAAAACAATGAACTTATAAAATGTTAAACAGCATGGGTGACCCAGGAGGACATTATGCTGAGTGAAATATCTCAGTCACAAAAGGACAAATACTGCATAATAAAATTGTTACAAAATAGGAGTGATATGGAGGCTGGGGGAAAACTAAAAAAAGCGGAAAAATAATTGACACTGCATTGAAACAAATGAAGAAAAGAACTGTTTAAAAGGAATATATGATTAGGTATTATTTGTATGAAAACAGCCCAGAATAAAAGATACACAGCAAAGTGGACTGGGTAGGGGGAGAGAGGAAATTTTGCAACAATGAATGATTATTTTTTTAAAAAGTTAACTGGGGGGTAGGTCCACAAAAATGCTTTTGCATAGTCAATAAAACACAAGTAAACACTTTCCTGGAATTCACTGCTTTCAATAAGGATCCATCTGACATCAGCAAAGATATCCCTTTAATGTAGCTTGAATTTCTTGCAGTTTCTTGTCAATGTACTGTGTCAGTAATTTTAAAGTAATCTTCAGAAATATCATAAGGATACTGGATCATCCTTTTGGGAATGAGAACAAATATGAATCTCTTCCAGTCAATTGACCAGATAACTTCCATATTTGTTGACAGAGACTTATGAGCACATCCAGGCCCACATCTCTTTCCTGAAAAACTTAGATTGGTATTCCATCAATTCCTATAGTTTTCTTTTTTTACCAATGCTTTCAATGCAACTTGGACTTCTTCTTTTAGTACTATTGGTTCTTGATCATATGCTACTGTCAATCAATTCTTTTTGGTATGGTGACCTTGTGTATTCCTTCTATCTTCTTTCGATGTTTCTTGCATCACTCGAGATTTTAACCCACATAATTATTTGATAAATCAAAGAACTGTGTGATAACCTGTTCCTTGTCTTCCTCATGAATCTCCCACAGGTACATCCAACTCAATGCAAGAAAGACTATGCCCACTTTCAGCCATTAAACTTGCTCATTCTCTTTTATTCTAAATAAAGAGGTCCTGTTATTCCAAGGGTCATTTTATTCCTTCTTAAGTCAACTGCCACATTACAATATCAAGTCCTGTCACTTGTACCTGCTAACCAATTTTCAAATATGTCCACTCCTTTCTCCTCTATTATCATTTTTGTTCTAAACACTATTACTACTCTCCAGTATTACTGCAACCAGTTTTTCAGCTGAGAAGAAGCAAACCTACACCTTTCGTCATCAAATCAATTCAGAATAAGTAAGCTTATAGTTACCCTGAAGGGCAGGTATAACAGGATAAGAATTTCAAAGCTGTAATCTTTACGAAATCAGACTGTCACATCTTTCTCCCACAGAAGGGCTGACCTTTCGGTTAGGTTATATGTGCTTAAACACTGTCATCAGGGCCCTCTCCACCTAAGAAAGACTCCCTTAAATATTAAAATATAAGGGAGAGAGAATAAACTCTCTAAGCATCTTATAACTTCTTGCCACAGCACAAAGTAATTCCTAGGTTCCCACTACTTACAGAGGAAAAGTCATTCACCTGAGACTGTACAGAGAAACTGTCATGAGTTAGCCCATCTTTCTTTGCAATTTCTTCTTTTGCTATTTTTCCACTTTATATTCTATGTTCCAAACAAGCTGAGCTCCTTTTATTAGTCAAACTTCTCAGTACCTTGTCATTTAGGATTAACTCACATTGGAGATTCCTGACCATTGCCCCTTATCTAGCTGGCTAATGAGGCCTGCTACTCTTCAGGTGATTGTTACTTTCTCTGGAAAGCACACCTTAAACCTCCTTTTCCCATCAAGACCTTCTTGTGCTTCCACTAGAGCAGCTATGCTAAATAGGAAAAACTTAACTCTTATGTAAGTACCTGGTTTTCTCATATTGAACTCACCAGGCAAGTACCCCACATCTGCACTGCTCCCCATAACTTCTACAATGCACATAACAGGACGCCAATGATTTCTTACTAAAGAAATATAATCTTATGAATTTAGAGTATTTTTTTCATTATTGTACTCTCTCACTGTTAAAAATATTGCTTTTGTACGTCATTGAGTCAAATTCGACTCATAACACTCCAAACTGATCCTCTAGGGGGTTTTCAGAGGCCAGAGTTAATTGTCCATTTTTCTCCCATGGAGCAGCTGGCAAATTTAAATTGTGTGCCTTTGGGTTGACAATATTATTTCTTACCACTGGGCCACCAGAGTTAGCTCCAAATACACACAGAGGAGAGGATATAGCCCTTCTATCAAATTCGTGAGTGCTCTGTATAGAATGAAGGTTGTTGTGGTTGTTGTTAGGTACCATCGAGTCAAGCACGACTCACAGTGACCCTGTGAACAAAGATCTGAACCTAGTCCTGTCCTATGACATCCTCACACTTCTTGACACACAAAAGCACTTTGTCAATCCACCTGGTGAAGAGTCTTCCTCTCCTTTACTGACCCTCCACCCTTCTCAAAATCATGTCCCTCTCCAAGGAATATAACCTCCTAGCAAGATGTCCAAAGTATGTGAGGCAAAGCTTGAACATTCTTGCCTCCAAAGAACACTCCAGCTGCATGCACCCTTTCCAAGACATTATCTACTCATTTTCTTGGCCATCCATGGAATGTTCAGTGATCCTTTCCAACACCACAGCTCAAATGCATCAATTCATTTTATGTCATCCTTATTCATTGTCCAGGTCTCAGATGCATAGCTGGTAATCAGCAAGACCATGGCCTGAATCAGATGCCCCTAAGTCATCAAACTTACATCTCTACTTCTCAATAATTTGGAGAGGTCCCTAACTGCAGAATTTCCCATTGCAATGCATCTCTGTATTTCCTGACTGCTCATACCAAGTGTGTTTATTGTAGATCCAAGCAAGATGAAGCTGTTGACAGTTTCAATCTCCTCTCCATCCATCATGACACTGCCTATTGGACCAGTATGTCAAGAATGAATGTACATTTAGTGAAAAAAAAAGAACTGGAGCTGCATGTTCCTGGGTTCATTTTGGCCATCTTGATGGGATTCCCAGTGCTATATCCTAGTACCAAAGGTGTTAATTTGGATCCAAACAAGATGAAATTGTTGACAATTTCAATCTTCTTTCCATCTGTCATGTTAAGCCTACACTGGGACCAGGAAGCATTCATCAGCACAGAGCAAGAAAATGCCGCTGTTGTTCAAAACTAGGAAAAGAGTGTGTCAGGGATGCAACCTGCTTCCAACACCTTTTCAATCTATCTGCAGAACAGATAATTTGGGAGGCTGGACTTTATGAGGAGGAATGTGGCATCAGGATTGGAAGAATATTCAACAGCAACTTGAATTATGCAGGTGACACAACTTTGCTTGCCAAAACTGAGGAGGATCTGAGACGTTTGTTACAGAAAGTCAAGGGCTGCAGTCTTCAATATGGATTGAATCTCAGCATTAAGAAAAAAAAATGTCATCATTGGGCCTATTGGCAACACCAAAAGAGATGGAGAAGAGATGGAGTTTATGAATAATTTCAGTTTGGTTTGTTCCACAATCAACACTTTTAGCACCAGTAGTTAGGAAATCAAAAGAAAAATTACATTAGGAAAATCTATTGTCAGGAACCTCTCCAGAGTGCTGAAGAACAATGATGTAAGTCTAGAGACTAAGTTGTGCCTGATCCAGGCAATGGTCTCTGCAATTACTTGCTATGCATCAGAGAGCTGGAAAATGACTAGGATAAATGAAGAAGTATCAATGTGTTTAAGTGGTAGTGCTGGATAAAAGTATTGAACATGCCAAGGACATCAAAAAGGACAAACAGGTCTGTCATGGAAAGGGTGAAACCAAGCTGCTCCCTGGAGGCAAGGATTTTGAAGCTCCATCTCACTTGGGGCATGCTGCCAGGAGGGACTGGCCCTTGGAGAAGGACAACATGCTGGGAAGGGTGGAGGAAGAGTTCAGGAGGGAAAGACACTTGGATGAGATGGATTAACACAGTAACTGGGGTAATAGGGGTAAGTATGCTGGAGACAGTGAGACTGGCTAAGGATAGAACAGACTGTACTGTACAAAGGGTCACTACGAGTCACTGATGACTCAACAACACATAACAACAACAACAAAAACATCATATTTCACATTGGCTCAGTGGTGAGGATTTTTGTTTTCTTGATGTTGATTTGCAATCAATCTATGTTGAAGGCTTTTTTATTTTCTGCAGCAAGTGCCTCAAGTCCTCCTAACTTTCAGCAAGAAAGGCTGTACCATCTACATAAAACAAGTTGTTGATGAGTCTTCCTCAAAACCTGACGCTACATTCATTCTTCTTTATGTAGTCTAGCTTATAAAATGATTTGTTTTCAGTATACAGATTGAATAGTTATGGGAAGAAGATATAGCCCTGATGCACACCTTTCTCGATTTCAAATCATGCAGTAGGCCCTTTCACTGTTCAAAAAACAACTTCTTGGTCTAGGTATAGGTTTCAGATAAGCATGATTAAGTGTTCTAGAATTCCCATTATTCTCAATGTTAGTCATAGTTTGTTATGATCCCTACAATTAAATGTCTTTGCATAGTCAATAATTAAACACAGATAGACAATCTTTTACTGTTCTCTGCTTTCAGCCAAGACCCATCTAACATCACCAATATATCCTTTGTGTCACAGCCTATTCTGAACCCAGGAGTTCTCTGTGAATATACTGTTCAAGC